AACAGTTTTTGGTTAGTTTTACAGATGATACTGGATCTATTTCAGTGTCTTGCATAACTATCTTGTGTTGCTGGTACACAGTTCATTGATAACTATGTATATTTAGCATGTTGAAATAAAGCATAGAAATGTAGCTCTTTCAGGATCATATTTTGATAAAACAAAAATTACTATATTTTATTGATATTTACTATAATTCATGTTGCTTCTGGGGAACGTTATTGATCAGATTTTTTTTTTTTTTTATTTGTGTGAAGGTGCTATGTTACCTCTATGGATTTAGCACTTTTCCATTTTTCCATGAATATAAGAATAAAAATGTGTGGTATATAAATAGTATTGATGCTTCTTTTGATAATCATTCTTAGGAATGCTGATATGTTATAAATATATATATGTTTATAGGATATCTTCAAGGACCTTGAGACAGAAGCTGATGAGGACTATGAGCTCGACACTGCCATACAGAAGTACAAAGAAAGCAGCAGGATTCTGGAAAAGAAGTCAAAAAAATCCCAGGGGGAAGAACTAGAGGTAAAAAAAACTACAAAATGTATTATTTCATTTCATCTCAGTGAGAAGCGGAGAAGACTCCTTACTCCGTGATCTATGCTTGTCATAAAGGTGACTGAAATGTCAGGAGCAAAGGGCTAGTAGTCCTTTCTCCTGTATATATTAATTAATTTAAAAAGAACAGCATTTTAAAGTTTGTTTGAATATTCATGGAGGTAGTACAGCTGATAGAGTTGATGTGAATGTTTATGAAAAGAAGCTGATGTTCTAACTCTAAGCAATTTAAAGCTGAAAGGAGTAGAAAATTTTCAGTGAGGAGAAATAAACAAGATTAATAAACTGGGGTAGATGTTGCAAGTGTATGGAATAGGTGGTGAACTACTTAATGTGGTTAAGAGTTTTTATGAGGATAATGAGGCTTAGTTATGTAGGAGAGATTATTTTCCAGAAAAGTAGACCTTAGACAGGGATGTGATGCTGCCATGGTTGTTTAACATTTATAGACTGGGATTGTAAAAGAAGTGAATTCTAGGGTGTTGGGGAAAGGTACAGGATTAAAAGATAATCTAATACAAAGAGGGAGTTGTCACCGTTGCTTTTTGCTAGACATAGTGCTTTTGGGAGATTTTGAAGAGAAGTTGTAAAAGTTGTTAGACAAATTTGGAAGGGTATGTAAAAGAAGGAATTAAAAGTTAACATAGGAAAAAACAACTGATGAGAATAACAAAAAAATTAGATAATGAAAGATTGTATGTCATTGTAAGAAGGGAGTATGGAAGAAGTGAATTTGTTCAGATATTTGGGAGTGGATTTAGGTAGTAGGTTGGTAGTAGGCATGTATATACGCACCCCTCTTTTTTTTTTTTTTCTTACTAGTTCTTGTTTATTTCCTTTTATCTCCCTGGGGAAGTGGAACAGAATTCTTCCTCTGTAAGCCATGCATGTCATAAATGCTTGGAGCAAGGAGCTAATAACACCTTCTCCAGTATACATTACTAAAGTTAAAAAGAGAAACTTTCGTTTTTCTTTTTAAGTCACCCTGCCTCAGTGGGATATGGCTGGTTTGGAAACATAAACACATGCAGTTTAATGTGATCCTTTATTGACAATGTTTCGCCCACACAGTGGGCTTTTTCAAGTCACACACAGATCTACCTGGGGTGGAAGGTACGGGAGTATTTATAGTCATGTTCAGAATGTTGAGGTCAGGTGGAGAATGCCGCATCTGACGATCTACCGGGTGAGGTTATAGAGTCTTGGGTAGCTTGGCAGGGGTATTGGACAAGTTCTGAGTAGACCTTCTGCAGTGTTCTATGTTCTTATGTGGGATAGTGATGAAGAAGTTTCTTGGCGAGTGGTTCAGCTATGTTATAGAAGCCGTTGTTCTGGTTGAAATTGTTGGTTATAGAGATAAGTGATGATTCCAGGATTCTTCGATATTGAGTGTTGTCTTCTGTGGCGATAAGTCTTGAGTTTCTGTAGTTAATTAAATGGTTGTGTGAATTGCGATGTTGTACACAGACATTCCCTTTGTATCATCAGTCCTGTTGGCTTTGGGGGGTGTTCTGAAATACGTTTTTGGGGAGGTCCTTGATGTTTTGCCACATATGATTTTTTTGCAGTCATTAAAAGGGGATTAGGGTACACCCCTGCAGAGGAGGGGAAGCTTGTCCTTTCTACTACTGGTGAGCCCTTATTGATGGTCGTGATTGTGGGGGTGAATTTGGGAAATGATGTTTTGGGAAAAGATTTTTGGGAAACTGTTTGGCAATGGAGTTTTTTGGGGGGACTATGAAACTTTTCCCTGGGCAGTGTCTTCTCTGGGTGTTTTGAAGTTTATTAGTGCCCCCGCCCGGGCAGTCTCTTTTTGGTTTGGACGGGATAGGGGTTTTTTAGAAAAACTTGTTAAATTTAAATAGGCATTCTTCCTAAAAAGGGAACTCTTTGGCTGCAAAATTCTAAAGGTGAAACGCGGGAAAAAACCCTATAATTCTGAACCCCACTATCCTCGTCACTTCATCAAAAACTGCAGCCGCGGGCTTAAACATCTTAAACCCCACCCAAGAAGACATTTGGCCGAGAAGAATAATACCCCCTCCCCCCCAAAATTCCATTGCCAAACTGTTTCCAACTTTTTTTTCCAAATTTAAAATCATTCCAAGTATCTACCTCCACAACCATGACCATCAAGGACATCCCCTTAGTGGGAACGGGGAAAAGGGTTTCCATCCTCTGCAGGGGTATAAAAATCCTTGAAAAGCTGCAAAAAAATTTATATTTTGGGCGAAACATCAAGAGACCCCCAAAAACACGTTTTTTCAAAACCACCAAATGCAAGCAGGACTGACGATCCAAGGAATGCCTGTGTCCCAACATCGCAATTCACACAACTTTTAAATTAACTACAGAAAACTCAAGATTTATCGCCACGGGAAGACAACCCCCAATTACCAAAAAATCCGGAACCTCATTTATCTCGAAACCCAAAACAATTTAAACCCCAAACAAGGGCTTCAAAAACATAGCGAACCCCGCCAAGAAATTTTCTTATCCTATCCCACAAAAAAACATAGAACACTGCGAAGGTCTACTCAGAATTGTCCAAAAAAACCCCTGCCAAGCTACCCAAGCTCAAAACCCCCACCCGGAAAGATCATCAGGAGCGGCATTCTCCCCCGACCTAAAAACATTCTGAACATGACAAATAAATCTCCCGAAACCTTCCCCCCCAGGTAGTCTGTTTTGGACTTAAAAAAACCCCACGTGTGGGTGAAACATTGTCAATAAGGATCACATTAAACTCCCAATTTGTTTTTTTTCCCATTGGTCGGTTTTTTTAAAACCATTTATTTTCATAGGGCTTTTTTTTGGAGAAAAAAAAAAAATTGGGAGGGGGATTTGGGTTGGTTTATGAAAGATAAAAGTAATTCATAAAAAACTGACAAGGGGAAAAAAGGTGGTGGTGCATGAGGTTTTCTGTCAAAGGCCCAAAAAAGGGGAAAAGTACCAGAGTACAGTGGTACCAACACACTTGGGGGGGGGGGGGGGGGATGTGAAGCCCTGGGTTTTTAAAAGTTACAGTGAGGAAAAAAGGGAAAAGGGACTGGAAAGTGTTTGAAGGCTTTTTGTGGTTTTTGACTATTTATCAAAAAATTTTAAAAGTTTGGAGATTAGGAAAGGGAAAAGAGTTACTTAAAAGTATTTTTAGAGGGCTGAGGATGGGGTTTTTGAAGTGGTTTTTGGGAAATTTAGAAGGGTGGAGCAAAAAAAAATGACTGGGAGAGTTCTAAATTGGTGAAGGAATGGAGGGGGAGGGGGTTTTGAGGGGTTTTTATATGACGCCAACTGGTATGTGTTTAGTGTTTTTGGACAAGAGTGGTTGGGGGCAAGTGGTTTTTTTTTGACTTGACAAGCTATTTTTAAAATGTGAACAAGGTAAATCAAATTTTTTTCAGAGAATTTAGGGAAAAATGACTAATTTTGGGCCCGACTTTTAGTCCTGGGATGGGAAGTACAGTGTCTGCACTCTGTAAAGGAAAGGTTTTTGGGGATACGCGTTTATTTTTCCCTGGGATGACAGTGAAAGTAGTGATGGTGAAAGTATTTCTTCTTTTTTTTTTTTGATCACCTTTTTTTGGGGGGAGACAAAATGGCATGTTAAAAAAAAAATACAAAGGGAAAATCACCCGGAATTCCTACAAACCCCTTTTTTCAGGGCAATGAAACAAAGGGTACCCTTTAAACAGAAAAATAGCACTAGATGCTCCACTCCCATACAGACTCAAACCTGACTCAGACACTGATGAAGAACCTGTAAAAGTGGTCCACAAATTTTGGAGGGGCTGTTGGTAATGGTAAGGGTTGAGAATCCCCAAATTTTAATTTTATCCCTATAAAGTACCTAAAAAAATTTCCCCAAAAATTTTATTCTTTTGGGAATTTATGTGAGGGAAAAACTCCCGGTCTCAACCAAGGGCCCGTTGTACCCCCATTCCCCCCACTAATTCCCTTGGGGCAAAAAATTTCCCCCAGATTTATTTCACTTTTCTCCCTGACCCACCCCTTGGGCCCCTCCTTTCCCTACGTGCCAAATCACCTGAACAACCCCTCTTCAGCTCTGAATCACCCCGCATCACCTTTTAATTTCTACGCTCTGAATTCTCTGAATGATGTTCACATCATTATTATTGAGGGAGGATTCATGTGGAATCAAACAGTAAAAATTATATTTCTCCAAAGTATGTAGAAAGCAGGGAAAAACTTGCTTCTTCCAAACTAATGTATATTATTATCCTAGCTCAGATCTAGGCTAGGATGTACAGCAATATATTTCTCTGTATGTACTTGACAGTTGGTGTTCATGAGAAGAATAGATTCTGTTTGAATTAGTCCAAAGTATTTTCAGATGCTGCTTTTTTTCCTTGATTGTTCTGAATATATTGCTTTAAAATTATAAAGTCTTTGAGAAAGCTCAAATATATTTGCAGGTATTACAAAGGGTAATAAGAAGAGGACAAAAGACCAGGCTAGACTAGACCCTGTTGGTCTTGCACTTGCTACTAAAATGATTTACTCCAAAAAAGCCAAGAGAGACATCATGGATGCTGGCTGGAATAGGTATGTTGCTTTTCAGATCTGCTCTCATTGTATAACCCAGGTGAGTTTAGCACTTTGTGATTATAATGAGAATAATCAGATCTGCTCTTGGATATTTTGTTATATTTCAGGTTAGTGCAATGTTATAAACACAGCTGCTGTTGCATAAATACGAAATGTAATAATAATTTCTTGCTGCACTTCAGGTATATGTTTGGAGATGATGATGACCTCCCTAACTGGTTTGTTAGGGACGAGAAGAAATATAACACAACGAGAGTGGAAGTAGACCCAGTAAGTGCTTTGTTATGCATATATATATTTCTTTAACAAGACCTGGTGTCTTTTTCTGTCTCATAAACACGCTAGATAACAGGGATATCTTGCTACTCCAACTTACACTTTGGTCACACTTATACACAAATAACCCGCACATAAAAGAGAGAAGCTTACGACGACGTTTCGGTCCGACTTGGACCATTGACAAAGTCACACTAACAGAGGTGGAGCAGGACGGCTATATATAGGCAGGAAGAGGTGGAGGTAGTAGTAGTAGTAGTACAAGAATTGTATATAATACCGACAGGATGAAATGACACATGCACAACACCCGGGCATCCCCACCGTAGACGTTTCGCCATCCAGCCAGCCACTGGATGGCGAAACGTCCACAACAAAGACAACCAGACGCCGCACATGTGTCTTAATTTCATCAGTAGTTGTAGTAGAAGAAGAAGAGGTAGTAGTAGTGGTAGTGGTAGAAGTGGGAAATAAGGAAGACGAGCCAGTCAAATACAAAGGAAGGGGAGCACTGCAAGAGAGCTAGAAACCCACAGAGGGAGAGCAAGCGCACCCAGGGAGGTACTACCGTCCAGCCAAGTGAGTGTAAAACAAAAGCCTGTAATTGTTTTACATGATGGTAGGATTGCTGGTGTCTTTTGTCTGTCTCATAAATATGCAAGATTACAGGTACGTCTTGCTACTTCTACTTACACTTAGGTCACACTACACATACATGTACACGTTTATTTATACACACTCATCTGAGTTTTCTTTGATTTTATCTTAATAGTTCTTGGTCTTATTACTTTTCCTTTTATATCCATGGGGAAGTGGAATAAGAATCTTTCCTCCGTAAGCCATGCGTGTTGTAAAAGTCAACTAAAATGCCGGGAACAATGGGCTAGTAACCCCTTTTCCTGTTAAAGATTACTAAAAAGAATAAGAAGAAGAAAATTGTCAAAGTGGGAAGTCTGAATGTGCGTGGATGTTGTGCAAATGATAAGAAAGAGATGATTGTGGATGTTATGAATGAGAAGAAACTGGATGTTCTGGCTTTAAGTGAAACAAAGCTGAAGGGGGTGGGAGAGTTTCAATGGAGAGGAATAAATGGGATTAGGTCAGGAGGTTTCAATAGAGTTAGAGCTAAAGAAGGAGTAGCAAAAAAATGTTGAAGGATAAGCTATGGCAGGAAAAGAGGGACTACAAATGTATAAATTCAAGGATTATGTGGAGTAAAAAAAAGATTGGATGTGAAAAGTGGTTATAGTAAGGTGTATGCACCTGGAGAAGAGAGAAGTGTAGAGGAGAGGAGAGATTCGGGGAAATGTTGAGTGAATGCGGGGGGAGGTTTTGAATCAAGTGTGAGAGTAATGGGGGTTTGGGGATTTCAAGCCTAAAGTGGGTAAAAATGTTATGGAGGGAGTAGTAGGTAATTTTGGGGTGCCAGGGGTAAATGAAAAATGGGGACCCTTTAATTGAGCTATGTGTAGAAAGAAATTTGGTAATAAGTAATACATATTTTATGAAAAAGAGGATAAATAAATAACAAGGTATGATGAAAGCCCGTAATGAAAGTAGTTTGTTAGATATGTATTGGTGGATAAAAGGTTGATGGGTAGGCTCCAGGATGTACATGTTTATAGAGGGGCAACTGATATATCGGATCATTATTTAGTTGTGCTACAGTTAGAGTAAGAGGTAGATGGGAAAAGAGGAAGGTGGCAACAACAAGTAAGAGGGAGGTGAAAGTGTATAAACTAAGGGAGGAGGAAGTTCGGGCGAGATATAAGCGACTATTGGCAGAAAGGTGGGCTAGTGCAAAGATGAGTAGTGGGGGGGTTGAAGAGGGTTGGAATAGTTTTTAAAAATGCAGTATTAGAATGTGGGGCAGAAGTTTGTGGTTATAGGAGGGTGGGGCAGGAGGAAAGAGGAGTGATTGGGTGGAATGATGAAGTAAAGGGTGTGATAAAAGAGAAAAAGGTAGCTTACGAGAGGTTTTTACAAAGCAGAAGTGTTATAAGAAGAGCAGAGTATATGGGGGAGTAAAACAAAGGTGAAGAGAGTGGTGAGAGAGTCAAAAGGAGAGCAGATGAAAGAGTGGGGGAGGCACTGTCAAGAAATTTTAATGAAAATAAGAAAAAATTTTGGAGTTTAGTTAAACAAGTTAAGAAAGCCTAGGGAAAATATGGATTTGTCAGTTAAAAACAGAGTAGGGAGGTTAGTAGATGGGGAGAGGGAGGTATTAGGTAATGGCGAGAATATTTTGAGGAACTTTTAAATGTTAAGGGAAAAAAGGGAGGCGGTAATTTCATGCACTGGCCAGGGAGGTATAACCATCTTTTAGGAGTGAAGAAGAGCAGACTGTAAGTGTGGTGGAGGTACGTGAGGCATTACGTAGAATGAAAGGGGTAAAGCAGCTGGAACTGATGGGATCATGACAGAAAAGTTTAAAAGCAGGGGGGGTATAGTGTTGGAGTGGTTGGTACTTTTGTTTAATAAATGTATGAAAGAGGGAAGGTACCTAGGGATTGGCGGAGGGGCCATGTATAGTCCCTTTATAAAGGGAAAGGGGGCAAAAAAGATTGTAAAAAATATAGAGGAAAAAAGTTTATGAGTATACCAGGAAAAGTTACGGTAGGGTTATAATTGAAAGAATTAGAGGTAAGACAGAATGTAGAATTGCGGACGAACAAGGAGGTTTCAGAGTGGGTAGGGATGTGTAGATCAAGTGTTTTACATTGAAACATATATGTGAACAGTATTTAGATAAAGGTAGGGAAGTTTTTATTTCATTTATGGATTTAGAAAAGGCATATGATAGAGTGGATAGAGGAGCAATGTGGCAGATGTTGCAAGTATATGGAATAGGTGGTAAGTTACTAAATGCTGTAAAGAGCTTTTATGAGGATAGTGAGGCTCAGGTTAGGGTGTGTAGAAGAGAGGGAGAATACTTCCCGGTAAAAGTAGGTCTTAGACAGGGATGTGTAATGTCACCATGGTTGTTTAATATATTTATAGATGGGGTTGTAAAAGAAGTAAATGCTAGGGTGTTCGGGAGAGGGGTGGGATTAAATTATGGGGAATCAAATTCAAAATGGGAATTGACACAGTTACTTTTTGCTGATGATACTGTGCTTATGGGAGATTCTAAAGAAAAATTGCAAAAGGGTTTGTGGATGAGTTTGAGAATGTGTGTAAGGTAGAAAGTTGAAAGTGAACATAGAAAAGAGTAAGGTGATGAGGGTATCAAATGATTTAGATAAAGAAAAATTGGATATCAAATTGGGGAGGAGGTGTATGGAAGAAGTGAATGTTTTCAGATACTTGGGAGTTGACGTGTCGGCGGATGGATTTATGAAGGATGAGGTTAATCATAGAATTGATGAGGGAAAAAAGGTGGAGTGGTGCGTTGAGGTATATGTGGAGTCAAAAAACGTTATCTATGGAGGCAAAGAAGGGAATGTATGAAAGTATAGTAGTACCAACACTCTTATATGGATGTGAAGCTTGGGTGGTAAATGCAGCAGCGAGGAGACGGTTGGAGGCAGTGGAGATGTCCTGTCTAAGGGCAATGTGTGGTGTAAATATTATGCAGAAAATTCGGAGTGTGGAAATTAGGAGAAGGTGTGGAGTTAATAAAAGCATTAGTCAGAGGGCAGAAGAGGGGTTGTTGAGGTGGTTTGGTCATTTAGAGAGAATGGATCAAAGTAGAATGACATGGAAAGCATATAAATCTATAGGGGAAGGAAAGAGGGGTAGGGGTCGTCCTCGAAAGGGTTGGAAAGAGGGGGTAAAGGAGGTTTTGTGGGTGAGGGGCTTGGACTTCCAGCAAGCGTGCATGAGCGTGTTAGATAGGAGTGAATGGAGACGAATGATACTTGGGACCTGACGATCTGTTGGAGTGTGAGCAGGGTAATATTTAGTGAAGGGATTCAGGGAAACCGGTTATTTTCATATAGTCGGACTTGAGTCCTGGAAATGGGAAGTACAATGCCTGCACTTTAAAGGAGGGGTTTGGGATATTGGCAGTTTGGAGGGATATGTTGTGTATCTCTATACGTATATGCTTCTAAACTGTTATATTCTGAGCACCTCTGCAAAAGCAGTGATAATGTGTGAGTGTGGTGAAAGTGTTGAATGATGATGAAAGTATTTTCTTTTTGGGGATTTTCTTTCTTTTTTTTTGGGTCACCCTGCCTCGGTGGGAGACGACCGACTTGTTGAAAAAAAAAAAAAAATAATACAGTGGACCCCCGCATAACGATCACCTCAGAATGCGACCAATTATGTAAGTGTATTTATGTAAGTGCGTTTGTACGTGTATGTTTGGGGGTCTGAAATGGACTAATCTACTTCACAATATTCCTTATGGGAGCAAATTCGGTCAGTACTGGCACCTGAACATACTTCTGGAGTGAAAAAATATCGTTAACCGGGGGTCCACTGTAATAATGATAGAGTGGATAGAGGAGCAATGTGGCAGATGTTGCAAGTATATGGAATAGGTGGTAAGTTACTAAATGCTGTTACGAGCTTTTATGAGGATAGTGAGGCTCAGGTTAGGGTGTGTAGAAGAGAGGGAGAATACTTCCCGGTAAAAGTAGGTCTTAGACAGGGATGTGTAATGTCACCATGGTTGTTTAATATATTTATAGATGGGGTTGTAAAAGAAGTAAATGCTAGGGTGTTCGGGAGAGGGGTGGGATTAAATTATGGGGAATCAAATACAAAATGGGAATTGGCACAGTTACTTTTTGCTGATGATACTGTGCTTATGGGAGATTCTAAAGAAAAATTGCAAAGGTTAGTGGATGAGTTTGGGAGTGTGTGTAAAGGTAGAAAGTTGAAAGTGAACATAGAAAAGAGTAAGGTGATGAGGGTATCAAATGATTTAGATAAAGAAAAATTGGATATCAAATTGGGGAGGAGGAGTATGGAAGAAGTGAATGTTTTCAGATACTTGGGAGTTGATGTGTCGGCAGATGGATTTATGAAGGATGAGGTTAATCATAGAATTGATGAGGGAAAAAAGTTGAGTGGTGCGTTGAGGTATATGTGGAGTCAAAAAACGTTATCTATGGAGGCTAAGAAGGGAATGTATGAAAGTATAGTAGTACCAACACTCTTATATGGGTGTGAAGCTTGGGTTGTGAATGCAGCAGTGAGAAGGCGGTTGGAGGCAGTGGAGATGTCCTGTCTAAGGGCAATGTGTGGTGTAAATATTATGCAGAAAATTCGGAGTGTGGAAATTAGGAGGTGTGGAGTTAATAAAAGTATTAGTCGGAGGGCTGAAGAGGGTTGTTGAGGTGGTTTGGTCATTTAGAGAGAATGGATCAAAGTAGAATGACATGGAGAGCATTTAAATCTGTAGGAGAAGGAAGGCGGGGTAGGGGTCGTCCTCGAAAAGGTTGGAAGGAGGGGGTAAGGGAGGTTTTGTGGGCGAGGGGCTTGGACTTCCAGCAGGCGTGCATGAGCGTGTTCGATAGGAATGAATGGAGACGAATGGTATTTGGGACCTGACGATCTGTTGGAGTGTGAGCAGGGTAATATTTAGTGAAGGGATTCAGGGAAACCGGTTATATTTATATAGCCGGACTTGAGTCCTGGAAATGGGAAGTACAGTGCCTGCACTCTAAAGGAGTGGTTTGGGATATTAGCAGTTTGGAGGGATATTTTGTGTATCTTTATACATATATGCTTCTAAACTGTTGTGTTCTGAGCACCTCTGCAAAAACAGTGATTATGTGTGAGTGAGTTGAAAGTGTGAATGATGATGAAAGTATTTTCTTTTTGAGGATTTTCTTCCTTTTTGGGTCACCCTGCCTCGGTGGGAGATGGCCGACTTGTTGAAAAAAAAAAAAATTGTTCCAGGGTTTTTCCTCATGAAACGAGTGATCTAGTGCAATTAGCCTCACAAAAACTCCATTTTCAGAAAGGGAAGAATGGGAAGATATTGTCAGTGCGGCAGCAACAATGGCAACCGCCACTCATCACATGACATATTTTATTCATTCTAGAGTATATATCATGTTTCTATGCTATTTATATTGTTTATTGTGATAGATAAATAAGCCATAGAGTTGATATTAGCGTTATATTGAAGTATTTTGTCCTGCCTCCTGCAAGCAGGAATTCTGCTGGAACAGATTAATGGCATTTCAGTTAATTTAAATGAGGAAAATTTATTTGATGTACGAACAAATTGAGTTACTAGCTAGGTCACGGAACGGATCAAACTCGTAAGTCGAGGTTCCACTGTACTATGCTTGTAGATATAAGGCATAATAAGCATGACTGGCAAGTAATACACATTTTTACTTGTTCAGGAATCAGACATGATGACTGCATCGTGTGTAATACCTGTTGGTTCATGAGTGGCTCTCTGAGACAGAGACACAGAAAGACACTTAAGCAGAGACAGATAAACAGAGCTAGACAGACAGATAGACATGTTTATGTGTAACAGTGAAAAATAAAGCCAAGGCAGTGCACGATCATCAAATGTCACTCCACTGCTGCACTGTCAGCAGTGGAGTGACACTCATCTTACACTGTGCTTCAAGGGGTTTCATGTATACTCCAGCATTTCTAAAACATCACTGGGACCTGGCAAAAAAGGCAAAAATCATTTATTTATAAATATAGTGTCCGTAATCTGTTCCAGAAGGTCGGCCTAAAACTGAAATAATTTTTCCCATATTAATTAATGTAAATCCAATTAATCTATTTCAGACATCCAAAAATATTAGCAAAAAACACATTTTTTAAAGATTAACTATAGTTTTACATACAGAAAACAATGAGTACATTCATTACTTACCTTAAAATATTTGTAGTCTTAATGTAGGGCGAGAGGTGAGTAGCATTTATATGTAGGAAGTCAGTGTAGGCAGCGGTAGATGTAGGTACAGTACACGTATGTAGGCCCCCCTCTGGGGGCTACACTACACAGCCATATTACCATATTCACCGAGTTTGTTTCTAGCAACTATCTTTAGATGCCATCATAAACACAGGGAAAGGTAATGAATAATTCATGCTGAGAATTGTGAACAAACGCATATGATGGGCGGTTACTGGGCGAGACGCCAGATTCACAATTTTCTCTAATGCTGAATCAGAGAAAACGTAATGTTTACTGCCCACCCGACTCTCCACTCGATAGCATACAAACATTGCACATTTATGTGCTATGTAACATGTTCCATATATAATTTTGAAGAAAATATCATATATAGATTAATGAAAATGTCTCCATTAACCTAAAATAATACATTTAATGTGCCCAAGAGTGATTATTATTAAACATACATTGCATATAATCATTGCTACACTCCCTGCCTCTACGCCTGCCTGCCTTGAATTCTATTGTGTTTCTCACTTTCTTTACCAAAGGAACTTTACTAGGAACTTTCTTTGAGGCCATGGTTCTTTATTTTGCAGTTGCACTTAATCAGTAACCATCAAAAACAATGGATTGTAGTGAAGTGTTTGAATGAATGAGCAGAAGTTTCCTCACTCACCCAGAGACACAGCCACACTGACTCAGGAATGCGCGAGTGGCTGGTGGTGGATGCGTCCAATACAGCTGATAAGTGAAATAATGGCCGATAACTGGAACGGCCGATAACGAAGGGTCCACTGTACATTTTCATTTAAAAACCCATAGCAAAAAAAAATTGGGGTGGTTTTTTGGGGGCTGGAATGGATTAATGGCATTTCAATTAATTTCAGTGAGGAAAATTTATTTAATATACATGTACGAGCAAATAGAGTTATGAGCTCGGTCACGGAATGAATTAATCTCGTAAGTCAAGGTACCACTTTATAAAGCAGTATGTGAGGGGAAAGGACGGCCTGAAAATAAATTCTGGATGACCATGCTGCTGCAGAAAAGTTTCCAGCTGAGCTAGCTAGTGTTACTATCTGAAGGTGGCTACAAACCTGAGTAAGTATTGATTGCTGATGAGACAAGTTCTGAAAGAAGATTCCATCTAAAACATCTTCGATGGTTAAGTGTTAGTCCCTATTGATAACATTACCCCTTCAACTGTCCAAACGTAGATCTACGTTTTCGCACGTAGTGCTCTGACCTTCATTTTCTCCATAAGAAGGCATGTAAAAGAAAAACGTAGATCTACGTTTGGACAGTTTAAGGCAAGTTTATATGAGCAACAGCTCATAATGCTCAAATGTAAGGTTGTTGTGTCCTAGGTCAACTTCCTTTGTCAACAAATAGTCAAACTGGATGTTAATGATTTTCAGGTTCTGTGTAGTTTGCCATTTTATTTTATTTTTTAATCCATAAGGACAAAGCTGAAGTATTGTATTTTGTATTCCAGTTAACAGGAGTACAACAGACTATACATGTACACTTCAGGAGATGAAAGAGTTGATATAAATGATTCCTTTGGTAATAATAGTATTGGAAATGACTAATCAAAATATTTTTGTTGTAGGAGGATTTGAGAATGTACCGTGATCGTTCAAAGGATGTCAATGCTCGAACAATAAAGAAGGTAGTTGAAGCAAAGGCTCGCAAGCAGAGGCGGTTGAAGAAGCGATTAGAAAAGGCACGGAAAAAGGCTGAGGTTGTGACAAATAATGCTGATATGACAGAAAGAGAAAAGGCACAGGAAGTTAAGACGTAAGTACAAATGTCCTTTCTTTTTTAAGCCTTCATCTTGCCCCTCTCCTCTTCCTTTACAGTATTTTGAAATTTTAGATCATTTTTCTAGTTTATCCAATCCTTTCCCTTCTTGCCTATTCTTCTACAATCCCATTTTTCCTTCAATTTTGATTACTTAAGAAATGTTTAGATATATATGAAGACTGAGCACATACATATTTTCGTATGCATTAATATTCATTTTGTATTATCCAGTTTGTATAAAAAGGCACTGACACCCTTGAAGAAGAAAGAAGCTACTTATGTTGTGATGAAGAAGAGGCATGCAGGGAAGAAGCCTAAAGGCATTAAAGGTCCCTACAAACTGGTAGACAAGAGAATGAAAAAAGATAAAAGGGCTATTAAAATATTTGATTCCAAGAAAAGAAAAGCTGGTAAGGGAATCTCCAAACCCAAAAACAAGGCAAGAGGCAGGAAGTAATTAGTGGTGCAGCAAATGTTTAAATTGGATATAATTTTACCATTACATGCTCCATATTTAATTTTGTTTTAAAACTAAAGAAAGGGAGTGTTAAGTATATTGTGGTTGTAAAAAATGATCAAAACCATACTTAAAATACAAAAAATTAATGTACTATTGATGATAAGTACAGGTGGACATGTTATAAGTGAAAATATTTTGAGGAATTGTCAAACTTAGTGTGGTTTGTGTTAGAAGTACTAAGAGTATAAAATCTTAATACTCAGATACATCATATTTTCCGGGAAGTATACCTTTCCAGAGGGAGATTTTGAGGATTGTGAATAGCTTTTGATCCAAGGAATTAAGACTACCCTTCCCTTCCTGACATCTTTATTGTCTTCCAAGTGCTATTTTAGCACTATTATAATACAGTAAAAATAAAGTAACTGTGTCACTTCCCATTTTGTATTTAATTCCCCATAATTTAATCCCACCCTTCTCCCAAACACCCTAGCATTTACTTCTTTTACAACCTCATCTATAAATACATTAAACAACCATGGTGACATTACACATCCCTGTCTAAGACCTACTTTTACCGGGAAATAGTCTCCCTCTCTTCTACACACCCTAACCTGAGCCTCACTATCCTCATAAAAACTCTACAGCATTTAGTAACTTACCACCTATTCCATATATTTGCAACATCTGCCACATTGCTTCCCTATCCACTCTATCATATGCCTTTTCTAAATCCATAAATGCAATAAAAACTTCCCTACCTTTATCTAAATACTGCTCACACATATGCGTCAATGTAAACACTTGATCTACACATCCCCTAGCTGTATAGCCCTTGTGGCTTAGCGCTTCTTTTTGATTATAATAATAATACACATCCCCTAAAACCTCCTTGCTCATCCGCAATTCTACATTCTGTCTTACCTCTAATTCTTTCAATAATAACCCTACCGTACACTTTTCCTGGTATACTCGGTAAACTTATAGAGGAATAATTTTTACAATCTCTTTTGTCTCCCTTCCCTTTATATAAAGGGACTATACACACTCTCCGCCAATCCCTAGGTACCTTCCCCTCTTTCCTACATTTATTAAACAAAAATACCAACCATCCAACACTATGTCCCCCCCTACTTTTAACATTTCTGTCATGATCCCGTCAGTTCCAGCTGCTTTAACCCCTTTCATTCTACATAATGCCTCATGCACCTCCCCCACACTCACATCCTGATCTTCTTCACTCCTAAAAGATGGTATACCTCCCTGGCCAGTGCGTGAAATTACCGCCTCCCTTTGTTCATCGACATTTAAAAGTTCCTCAAAATATTCTCGCTATCTACCCAAAACCTCCATCTTCCCATCTACTAACTCCCCTACTCTGTTTTTAACTGACAAATCCATTTGTTCCCTACACTTTCTTGTTTAACTCACTCCAAAATTTTTTCTTATTTTCACTAAAATTTCTTGACAGTACCTCACCCACTCTGCTCTCCTTTTGTTTTTTAATCACCCCATCTTGGAGATGGTGTGGAGTAAAAATAAATTTAGCCAAAGTTTAATGATATTCATTTGGATTTTTCTCAGTCTTAATTTTGTGTGAGGAGCCTCCCTGAGCAGTATTTAAGTGGAGTCATTAATTATTGTAATAAAATAAAGCGCTAAACCGACAAGGGTCATACAGTTGTACCAATTCCTCAGTGTCAGTACGTACTGTGATAAATGCAACAGGCACGACCAGAAAATATTAATGTTACTGGTAGGTATACAATACTCTCAATGTAAAGGACATTGATAAAACAAAGAAAAAGCACTAAAATATTCAGTGTATACCTTGTATTACATTCATGGGAGAATTGCTAAACCTATACAGCACCCAGAGGAATGGGAGGTATTCAGGTTTGATCCAAGGAAGGGTAGATCCACTTCTTGGATCGAAAGCCCCACACTGGCATGAAAGAACCTCCCTTGAAGGTCATACTGCAATAAAGATTGAAAATAAAGGCATTAAATACCATTTACCAACTGGGTTTAAAGTGTTACTTCACAAGTCCATTATATTGTTAGTTATATAGAGAGTACTGTATATACGTACATAGTAAACCCTCAATTTAAGGGACTTGAGAACTATGGGACAAAATATGGTAGGTCACTAGATTTGGAAACAGTGGACAAAGTCCATTGTTTACAAAACTGTCCATTATAATTATGGCAAAATCTTATCTTTATCCTTTCTTTGATTATAATAATAATAATCTTTATCCACCACAATCACCATTACTGGCCACCCATTCTTCCTCATTAGTCCATTAAACCACAATCACCATTACTGGCCACCCATTCTTCCTCATTAGTCCATTAACCACTTGACTGTCGCAACCCCTAATCCTGAGGTGTCTCCTGGTGTCGCAAAATTTAAAAAAAAAAAAATTATTTTTTCTTATGAAATGATAGAGAATCTTTTCCTGATTGTAATGACACCAAAAAAAACTAAATTTGATGGAAAACTGACGGAATTATGCTCTCGTGAAGTTAGCGATCTCGGCGATATTTACAAATCGGCGATTTCGCCCACTTTGAGCCCTATTTTCGGCTAATTCCGTTGTTCCAGTCGACCAAACTCATAGCTATTTCTTTAGAACTCCATTTTTTCTATCGATTGAGCACAAGAAACTGCCCATTTACCAATTTCAACTACCCAATAATGTGGTCAGAAATTTGCAATTTGGCCATTATTATTATTATAATCAAAAAGAAGCGCTAAGCCACAAGGACTATACAGCGCTGCAGGGCAGGAAGGAAGCGAGGGCATCAGGTGGCAAAAGGGAGATGGATGAGCAACAGGTTACGGATAACAGCGGGGCAGTGGATGGTGAAAGGGTAAAGGGCAGCAAGAGACTGAACCAGAAAGGGCTGAGGGGAGTGCGAAAAGTATCATCAGAGTTTGTGGAGTAAATCAGTCGTTGTCAAGAAGTCAATGAGAGAGTCAGGATTAAAGGAGGGTCCATCAGCAAGAAGGGAAGGTAAAGAGAGAGTAGGAGAACGAAGACGACGTTGGAGGTAAATTCTGCGTGCTCGTTGATAGAGAGGGCAGTCTAACAGAATGTGGCTAATCGATACTGGAACTTGACACTGCTCACAGAGAGGAACAGGGTGCCTCTCCATGAGATACCCATGAGTAAGACGAGGTGTGGCCAATGCGAAGGCGGGAGAGAGTGGTCTCCCAAACCTCGGCACTGATGACAAGAAGACGGCCAGTAACCTATGCTCGGTTTAATAGAATGAAGTTTGTTACCGAGCAGAGTTGACCAACGTTGTTGCCAACGGTGCGAAGGTGGGTAGCTATTGCAGCAAAATAGTCCAGAAATGGAACACCTCGATAGGAAATTGGTAGGTCATATACTGCTGACCGCGCAGCAGTGTCTGCCTGTTCATTGCCCTGTACGTCGACATGACCAGGGACCAACAAAAAACAATATCTTTATGTTTGGTAGAGATACGGCGTAGCCAAAGTTGGATACGGAGAACTAGGGGATGAGATGTATCAAATTTTCGTATAGCCTGTAGAGCACTAAGGGAGTCTGAGACTACTACAAATGATGACACAGGCATAGATGCGATACGAATAAGTGCTGCAAGAATGGCATACAGTTCAGCAGTAAAAATGCTAGCTGAAGATAGTAAATGCCCTCGTACGACGCTGTCGGAAACACTGCTGCGAATCCGACGCCCGTCTGAAGACTTAGAGCCATCTGTGTACACAGCGGTGGCATGAGAATGAGAGTGGAAGTGATCAAGAAAAAAGAGGGAAGCCACCGGGGCATTGGGGGCCCGGAAGG